AATGGTGAATTTCTTTTGGTAAATTGGGTGAAGTATAATTGGTTGATTGTCTTGAAGTCGATCCTTGTAGGTGTTGTATCCTACTTGTGTTGTTTTGCTCCTCCCCCTACAGTTCCGCGATCATGCTAAGCCAAAAAAACGACAGATTGTATCCTGAAGTTACTTATGCCTTGCAGGTTACAACCCTTTTTTGTGGTGTTAGTCTTCATGGTTAACTCAGGCTACTATTGCTGTGATTCCTAAAGTAAGTTCCCCTTTACATTTTTCTGAAATGAGACCCAATAGTATGTGTAATGTAATCAGCAAAAAATTAACTATGTGAATAGTAATGATGATTTTATCATGTCAAGTCATCAAGAACATAATACTAGATGTAGAAGTAGGGGTGCTTATCCGGCGGATAATTACACAAGAAAAACGAATTCTTGGATTATATAGTTTTCATTTTGACTGCTAGGAAAGTTTAGGGGTGTTGCGTTATCATGCATCTCTCATAGTACTAGTCGTACCCTTGTAGTTCTTGACATAGGTCGCTTATTGTGTTTATTGTTGTTTTTGTGTCTTTCTTGTAGACGTTATACTGCTTTTCCTATTAATTGTTATGTTTTCTTCATTATTTTTCTTTTCTTTTACTTTGGTTTGATGCACTTGAGCCTATTTGGTCTCTCGAAAACAGTTTATCTATGATTTTATGATTATTTTTTGTTGTTGTTGATTGTTTGGAAAGTTAGCCTTCCTATGCGTATATGGATTCTCCAAAAACACACCATCTTTTAAAAAATTCAACACGCATTCGTTGATATTTTTGAAAAATCCGAATAACACTTTATAAATATTGTAAAGAGTTTGAGACAGATTTTGTTAGGGACATTTACAATTAATGCAACAGAAGTATCCCAGGTATCATTTTGAAGAGACTAGAAAATGATATCATCACTTTTGGAACAGGGCTATGAAAAAACAAATTGAATGATGCATATAATTATATCTCCTCATAGAATACTTTTATTTATAACTTAAAAAATAATAATGAAGTTGTTGCAATAAATACCACAACATGATGTAATATTCGTCTACATACCAAAAATATATATTGTAATTTGAATGATCATTTTTTGTTAATAGCTTAATAATAAATAATTTCTCATATATGCACCATAGATATGAGAGTATTGAAATTAGAAAAATAAGGTAATAAAGTGAATTTCGCTTAATTACAATGGAAATATCGAAATAACGAGTAATTAAAGATAGAAAGAAGAATGGACATGAGAAGCTTAGATTCTAGACAAAGAGGAGAGGACAAACATTTTCTTCATATGCATAATCCCTAAATCATTGTCCGCGGCCTCTTTTGATGGAACCATTCTCACATCCACTACTCGACCCGGATCCCAAATTAACCTGATCCTATTTCTTGTTCTCGGCCCAAAAGCTCTTTCCGGCCCTATAAATACTTGTGTGACCTTGGTATTCATATTAGGTTAGACTTGATTCATAACAACCGGAGTCAGATGAAATTGATCGAATCTTTTACTTCTATATCTCTCTTTCCTCCTCTTGTTTTGATTTTTTTTTTTGTATTTTGTATTTACAGATTCAGTAAAACTAAACTCTTTTCGGCGATGAGTTTTGAGGCAACCTAATTCCTCCGATCTGCCCCCTCTTTGATGAGTTCAATGGTTCCAACATCATCTAGAAAATCGTCGACAACACTCAGGTTCTATCATTCTTGTTTTGTTATTTTATTGCACTTACCTAATAAAATTAACATAATTGTTCTATTATTTGATGTTTCTATTTCTATAACCTATGTTTGTGGCTTTTGGGTATGATGGTAGTTTAAGAATGTCTCCTCGATTAGGTTTAGGGTTTGGGGGTCAGGGATGGTAAAAGTATCAAGAGAGATTCTAGATTGTAAGTTAGAGTCTATAAAACATAGCGATATTAATAGGGAGGTCAAACGAGTTAGTAAATATTCTTAAGAAGAGGAAGATTAATATAACTTGTATCCAGGAAATCAAATGGGTAGGAACCAAAACTGTCATCATACTCCAAAAGTTGATTTCTAGTTTTCTAAAGATTATATTTACAACGGGGGTAAGTTGAACGAGAGAATCAAAGGGTCCTTTACATCAATAATAAATTTGTAATTAAAAACAGGAAGAGTGTCAATAAAAGATTGATCGACACTAATAAAGGTGAAAAGGTTGTTGCAATTGACCTAAATTGAAATCTAACAAATAAATGAAGCAAACCAAAATTGAATCTTTTCGAGATTTTCATCAAAAAGATTTTGATGAAAATGTGAAAGAACACATTTGATTTGCTTCACTTACTTGTTAAGTTCCTATTAAGATCAATCACAACAACTTTTACACCTTCATGATATTGGTATAGATCAATCTTTTGTTAATATACTTCATGTTTTCAATTACAGATCCATTATTGGTGTAACAGGCCTTTTTGATTGTCTCGTTCAACTTGCCCTCTTTGTTAGATAGTCTTTAGAGAACTTGAAATCATTTTTTTGAAGTATGATTAATTTGCCTGGTACAACAAAATGCATGGTGGAGTTATAATAGATGAGAGATTTGGAGAGAGGCCCTAGAATCTAGAGGTTTCAGGTTAAGTAGGACTAAGACAGAGATTAAAGCTATAGTCTGCCTAAAATGAGACCTACTACAACAAAGATTAAAGTTGAAATTGATATCACGAGAACCCTAGTGTCAGAAATTCATATCGTTGTTAGAAATAAAGACAGGGATAATTGAAATCTATCAATCAAGAGTTGAACATGAGAATGTCCAGAATATTGTTCTCACTATAAAGCTCAGAGACACAATGATGATAATTGATATGGGTGGAATATTGCAACCTGATCTGATCTAAAGAAAGTTTTGACGTAACTTATAAACTTGTTATTAAATGATTAAGAGATCACGAGCTTGAATTATGAAAACAGTCTATTGCAGAAATGCAGGTAAGATTGTGTACAATACATGCACCACTATAGTATAGCCCTTTTCCAAATCTTGCACATTGTGAAAATTTAGTATCTCGAACCGTCCTTCAATCATTATCAATTTCAAATTTTCTATTAATAAATTAATCAGTAATGATCAATAAATTTATAACACTAACTTATGTAGAAAGACGTATTAAAATATTTATATATGAAATTTCATCTAATTTTCTACAAAATATTATATGTACAGACTAGAAGGAAGGATTTTCTTCTATCAACTATTATACAATTTTTTAATATTAAGCTAATTTAGTTAGCTATAAAAAGAATATTGAAAAAAATCAAATTTCATCGTTAAATTAATTGCCAAATAAATTAGCATCAACTCCCTTTTAGTAAATAAATTTATGTCTAATAAAGTCATCGTCAACGATAACGGCGCCGGCGTTCCACCACATGGCACCGTCGACCTCCGTCACCATTTCCACCGGCGTTTTCGCTTTCCTCATATCACCGACCTTAACAACTCCGGCAACTTCATCTCTAACGTACACTTTCTCCACGCCGCCGATACCCACCACTTTTCCTGTACCCCAATCGGCAAATATCGCCGGCGACTGACGCCTCATTCTCGCGTCGTAACCAGCTAAAACAACGCCGTTCCTCTCATCTCTCCATTCAGACCAAAACACCATAGGCACCGTCGGAAATTCGCTCATCTTCTCTTCAACATTCAAATCCCAAAGCTTTACAACATTTTCTCCGGCGACAAATTCAGTTAGCGGAAACAGTCCATAGCTGCTCCGTCGCCTTATAAGTCTTAAACAACTCTTTTTCCCACCCGCCACAGAAAAATCTCGATCACCTCTGGGTGCAATTACCTCTTCATCATTCGAATTCGAACAGACTGATGAGCATTCGTCGTCGTCGTCATCAGAAAAGTCGAAATCTTCGCTAAGATACTGAACAATAGGCTCATCAGATGGCTCAATTCTACGTAAGTAAATGAATGTAAACTTAATTCTTCCAAATAAAGCACTAAAAGTAACAAATATGGCGAAAAACAGAGCACTCCATTTCCAGAAACTGTAAACTTCAGTAACGTTTTCGATATTCGAAAGAGAAAAGAATTGAGAAATCAAAGATGGGTTCTGTAGATATTTAACATCAGATTCAAAATTGCTGATCATAGTTATGAATCTTCAAAGATGTAGAGAAACTGTTTGATAAAATGCTCGAAAGAAAACTAGAATAGATATTGGTTTTGGAAAATTGAAATGAATGAGGTAATCTATATATTATCTTTGCGTAATCTATAACTAATATATTCCTCTCTAAATTATACTAACACGGAAATACTTTACGCACTGAATTATGATATAAAATAAGACTTTTGGTTAGTTGTAATTGACGTGGAGATCATAGTTGGTGAAGAATATGGATATTCAAGAGATTCTTTGGTATAATGAGAAATTATAATGTTGTCATTTGTGACTCAGCATATGGTTAGACTTATCGCTTGTGGATAGTTGAATTTTTCCTTGACACGGTTCTATCTCTAGGTTTTACATATGGATTAAAAATATATATAAACTTCATATCTAATTTATTAAGTATATATTTAAAATTTTAAATTATTATGAATTTATATTAAAATAACTTTCGGAAAAAAATTTAAGGGAATAAGTTGAATTTTTCTTAAATTATCGTAATTTTACGAGTTTTATACCTTAGTTATAAAACTATTAAATGACCAAGATATGCACCGAATAAAATCCATCAGGTTAAGAAGAATTTTGATTTATTCAGCCTTATATATTACTTTGAACTTTTGTTGAGTAAGAACAATAAAGTATAATTGTTGACTTTTGACATTTAAATTTAGAAGAGTGAAATTGAAATAGAGAAGTTAATGATCAATCTTTTTCCATTTGTACAAGTCAAAGTACTTCCATTCACAACAAAAATTGGTCAGGTGACCAAATTATGGAAGTGCTCTGTGTTATACTTGAAAACATTCAAATAGAGCAACAATACAAACTTTAACATAACACGTAAAATAATTAAACGGTGAGCAATTGATAATCATTGTAGATTTGTAAATACTCACAAGTAAAAAGGATTAAAAGTACATATTTCGATTAATCGAAGATCAAAAGTGATAAGATATTACAAGGACTAAATTCAAAAGCTACAACAACATTAGAACATACAAGATGTAACTATACAAGATGTAACTCCACGAGCGGAGGCTTGGAAGGGTGTTGTGTACCCAACTGTAGAGGGACAGGGACTAAATTCAATATTATTAAAAATTGAGGGACCAAGAGTGATATTAACCAAACAAAAATACCTTAAGTTGCTAGATTTTTTGGGTCAGTATATAGAAGGAGTAAATTTTCACTTTCAGAGAAAAATGTTTGATCAAAAGAACTCTTCTGGATTTTGTTGAACAAGCACATTAGTTGGATGCCTCCTGGCGAAGGAACTGAACAAATTTTGATCTGAACTCTGCCGGGATTCGGACAGGACGGTAACTTTTATTGAGCCACACTGCTATTCCTCTTGCCTCCAAGATGGGCTGGAAAAAAGTAGTAACAGAATACATTGAGATATGAAGGTGGTTTTGTTCCAAAAAAAAAAAAACGCGGTAATAGTGGTAACTGACCTCTTGATCTGGAAGCTTGAAGATGAAGTGTTCGAAAAACAAACGAGCAGCTGAAGAATCAGATATTCGTGCCTTCACGACAAATCTATCTCCACTCTGAACCAATGATGAAAGTAATGAGAACAGGCAGGATAACATAAATTTCAAGCAGTTCAATTCAAGTTTGAAGTTATAAGAGATCAACCAGTCCTGTTCAGAAGAAAGAAGCTCACGTCCCAAGTAAATGACTGAGTCTGATAGTACAGAACACAAGGTTTGTTTGAACAAATTGTTAACTTAGAGCCAGATGATATCTAAAATAATAGCTTAGTTTTAATTGTAGCATAATCAATTGAAAGCAAGTCAAATAAAGATTAACGGAATGTAGACTAATCTTTATTTGATTGTAGTTCCTCCAATTCATGGTAAAGTAAAGTTTCTTATACTTACTGAAGAGAAAAGACAAGTAATTATAGATAAACAAAGACAGTGTCCCAAGTAATTTGGAAAGAAGGCAGTGTCACATTATTATAATCAGCTGTAAAAAGCTTCATTTAGCCGAACCATTATCCATTTGACATTAACCTTCCTAATTATGCTAATCCAAACTTCTCACACTTGCAATTAAACATTTTATTCTTCATTTCTATGTATCCCAAGATCTAAACTTCATATTCAAATGCAAAGTTTTGTGAAACAAAATTCAAATTGAATAGGACACTTAACCAAGGTCTAAAGTTTCTGGTTGCATATTTCTTGGTTCTTAAGGATGTTTAGATATGAGGGTCATACCCTTAGAGGTGCTAGATACTTAAGTGACAGCTCTGTTAGTGCTAGTGCGTCACCACTGCGTGCCACTTCATCAGCACTTATACCAATCCTTTCTAGAAGCTCATGACGACCTGTTTCATTTATTAAAAATAAGTCATAACTACAAGATTAGTTAAATTGTCGTCATTTGAAAGTTTTTGATATGGACAATGTCATATCCAGTATATGATAATATACAACAAGGTAACGTCCTTGTACAGAAGGAGGCTAGAGCAAAATCCCAGAATAACAAAAGATTCAACATAGAAACTTCTCCTTAGGGAAAGGGAAAAATATGGAGGAAAAGACTCACTTCATTAATGACAACTACTGCTACTTTTTTTTCTTGATCAGTTGTAACTGATGACTGTTTTCCCTCTCGTAAATGAGGAGCTGGAAAGAATGACTCAATAGTTACGAGAACAGGGACAACTACAACAATCAAATGAACCAGATTCTCTAACTTGGACACCACTCTACACAGTGAACTTAGGTGTGAAGTACATCACAATCCCTTTTGGCTAAGGAGGAGATTATACAAAGCCAAAGCACAAGAAAGTGTTAATCTGGATATTGCACATGCTTCTAGCCTAACTTGACACAAATTTCAGAGAAGGGGATTGATGTTTTCTGGGAGATATTATCTCTGCAAGGAGGAGGAAGAGGATGCAAATTATCTGTTTCTAGTTTGTACACTTCTCAATGGCTTCACAGCTATGGAAGTTCCTCCTGAGCATTTTTAATATGCAACAGACTATACTAAAATTCTATACCAATACCAAGAGAAGGGGAGCCTTGTCATAACTAGAAAGGTTACTGCCATGTGACCTGGGAGGTCACAGTTACAAGCCATTGAAACAGCCTCTTCCAAAAATGCAGGGTAAGACCGCATACAATAGACCCTTCTGGTCCAGCCTTCCCTAGACCCCGTGCATAGCGAGAGCTTTAGTGCACCAGACTGATTTTTAATAGACTATACCAAAATAGTGAAGAACCTACAACAGCATTGAAAAGCAAAGGAGATTGCATAGGACAAGAATATGTGACACAGTGCCAGTTAGCATCTCGTCGGTGTTTTGGACAGAAAGGAATGAAGAATTTTAAGAGCAAATCAGAAAGCATTTACAAGTTTACATTTATGATTTATTTCTCTTCTTACTGTAGACATGATGTATATGATATAGGAAATATGATAGAATTGCTTAGTTTTTCAGTAGATAGTACTGAGGAAGCAGAGGTATAGTAATGCACTATGTAGGCATGTACACATGCAAATGCAATACAAGCTTAGTGCTGTTTTTTGAAGCAATAAAATTAGCTACTTATCGAAAAGGACAAACTTCCTTGAGGTAACAACCTAGATTATCAGAAAAATGTCAGCTTATTTCAAAAATATCTCTTTTCTCTATACTCATCAATTTGTTTTACTATATCATGAAAAAGGACAGACCTTTCTGCGCATTTGGAGTTCAAGTCATTGCAAGATTAAACCTAGCTCCACCTTTTGCTACACTTCCACTTAAATACTATAAAGCTGCAATAGTTGCCTTAACACTAATGTGCCATCAAATAATTCACTTAATTGAGTTGGAAAGGGTACTTATTGAAAAAATGAAAATAATCAGTAAAGAAAAAACTACACGGAAGTAAAACTTTCTCGAACTCTATCTACACAGAAGTAATCAACTAAAGAAACTATCACCTTTTGGAGTTCCACAATCTGTTCTTGAGTTATCTAAATATTATTGTTTGCCTCTAGAAAAATGACATTGGGTTATCTCTAATTAGTTTCTATTTAACTGGATGGCTGAACTGTTATTATTTTTCTTTTTACTGTTCTTTCATGTCAAAAGTCCTGATCATATTCTAATTTATTTATTTTTTGATAAGGTGAAATTTTATAAATGTAACAAACATCAAGTTGTTATAGAGAAGAGAACACATCAAAGGTAGTCATCACTAACTGTGTAGTGAGCTAAATAAAGTGAACCATGGCCTCCACATCATAAGTATCATGTTCATTTGCCACATTGCTCCGAAAAGAAAGCAAAGAAGTACAATTCTCAAGACTGGTTACATTCTCCTTTTTGCCTTGAAAATCTCTAGTTTCTCTCTTTCCAAATAATCCACCAGATTGTCTGATCATATAATAGCATTATGAACAAGTAAATTCTCATTACTCTAAGCTTTTTAGAAGGAGGATCTTTTTTTTCACCTACAGATACCAGTAACTTTGTCTATTATAGGTAGAACTCATACGCCAAAATTTGTAATAAGAGTAGTATACTGGCCCCATTTTTGGAATTTAGCGTAAGAAACTTTGCAGCTGTTAGTTTAATTCCTTTTTTTACAAGGCAAGTTCAAATCCCTCAAAGTATTGATCTTGACAAAGATAAAGAGTTAATTTAAATCCTTTAAAGTAATCATCTTGTCAGTATACTTCAATAATAGTCGAGGAACTAGAAAGATCTGATATAAATTTATAGAAATTAAACAGAAACTTTTTATTGGTTTATTAAAAAAACTCAACTTGTATACATAGGTCACTCACAATGTAACAGATCTTATTACGTTGGGAAGACTTGAATTTTGATATCCTTGATTCCATATCACGGGTAATCAGGTAATGAACCGTGCCAATTACTTAACAACATTTTGAATAGACAAATTATTAACTTCTTTTTCATTAGGATAGACATATTATTAACTTAAAATTATTGATTTATAACTGAGCAAGTTCTGAGCTTCTGGCAAACAACTATTTGGCAATCAATTAGTTCACATACAAAGTGGATATTGGCTTTATCGTTAGCATGTCTAAATGCAAGATTCAAACAGTCATTGACCACATCAGATCCCTTCAAACTTGGGATTCAACATGTTTCTAGTAATAAGCAGACAAAGGAAATCATATTCATCATCCATTTTTGGGTGGCATCATCTCAAGTTATTGAGAGAGAAACACATTCCATAAACACGGGTAACAGATGATCTAACTATAGGGTTACAAAGAATGTTGAACAGATACAAAAGATCCTTTTCCAGTAATTTCTAGTTTACTTCAGTTTTTTTTTTAAAAAAAGTAATTTCTAGCTTTCTACTCATAACAGTTGCCAGAAAAAATTTCTCCCTTGAGTAAATCCTTTTTCATTAAAAGGGAAAAGCGCAGTATTATATGCTTTTTGATGAATGAAAGCACATGTATAATATGGTAGTTGTAAACTGAAGTACAGATCGAAACCATAAACCTTACCATGTTGGCAATAACTTGCATAAATAGCATTGTTTACAACACCATACTGATCCAATTCATAGTCCCGGACTTTGAGTTCAACTTCATGGAACTCAGCCATTCTGCAAAGCAAGAGCAAAAGGTAAGCTCCTATAAATAGGAAAAAATAGACTATGTCAATGAGCAAACTAAAAATACCAATTCTTGCTGAAACTTAAAATGAAACTACAAGAAAGGGGAAGCCTATAAAACGCTCGACACAAAAAGAATAAAAGGTTTTCCATTTTTCTTTCCCAAAAAAAAACCTTTTCCAGAATTCTGATAAAAAAAAACATTATTCAATCAATCAGTTTCCACCAATTGTAGAAATTGAAAATGCATAGCCCTTCATTCAGATGGAGAAAACATAGGTTCTAATCAAGTTCAAACCTAACAGAAGCTACAGCAAAACCAATCAATCAACTATATCTAAAGCCCAAACTAGTTACAACAAACTACATAACTCCTCTGCCCATTCAGTTGAAATCAAGTGGACACAAGCCAATGAATACAATACTTAAAGAGTATCTGATCATAATTAGACTTACTTTACCCTCATTGACAACCTAGACAACCCTCATCCGTCATCCAAAGCATGATCCGGACTATGTTTTGTCATACAGGATGAATTTTGAATGGAACTGTAAGTTACTACCCATGACACCTTCCTATATTCAGTAACAATTTGACTTCAAAATTCCAATTTTACGAGATCACCCTGAGAAACCTTTCTATATTCGATAACAACTTGATTTCCAACTTCCCATTTTACGAGATCACCTTGAGACACCTTTCTATATTCCATAACAATTTAACTTCAATTTTCCACTTTACAAGATCACCTGAGACACCTTTCTACAGCCGGTAACAGTTTGACTTCAAACGTCTCACTTAACCATATCACATTTCTATATTTAATAACACTTTTCACTTTTCCATTTCATTAGATGATTTATAACAATACAATATATCCATACACACATATATACTGGTTGATTTAGGTCTTCCTTTTATCCATAAACTCCGCGCCTAATCAAATACTTCAGATAAAATGGGATTGGTGGAGTAAAAGATATATATATATATAGACATACCCTTGGCTACCTTTGAGATCAAAAGCATGAGCTCGAAAACTCCTCAATTTACTGACGGATAACTGTAAATTTGGAAGCAGGAGCTGCCGGTGAGGACTGACCGGTAATGTAGACGGTGGCCGATGATTCGGCAACAGTGAGTTACCGACTGAAGTGGATCCAATGCTGCGAATCAACGGGGAAGCGATGCATTGAGACATTGCGTCTAAAAAATGGTGAAGAATTTGCAGAGGTAGAATAGACGTAAATTGGAACAATTGGGAAATTTGGTGTATGTATATGTATAGGCGTTAACACGTTGTGGATTGTCAATTTAAATATTATTTTCCGTTATATATTCTATTTTATTTGTAAATTTATTATTCAAATATAAATATATAACTAATGACACAAAACAAATAAATTATTTTAAATATAATATTTATTAAAATAATAATATAATATATTATGAAATAACACGTAACAACAATCCAAAAATTTTCCGTGCCGTTGTTTTGTAGCACATGAAAGACTCGTGACAGCGGATTGGCAAAAACAAGGTGAGCTCAAAATGTGTTGTTTAGGTGATGCTTCCTACTTGCTAGGACGGTTGTATAGGGGGGCAAATGAACGATTGACATTAATTTGGATCAATTAAATGAGTTAAAGTTAAATTAATATATATATATATTTTTTCGAATTTCAACAAACAACGCGAGAATATAAACCGCAATAGATAAGCAAATCATAAAGCGAATGTAAATCGTATTAGGCAAATCTTATGTGACAGGCTTAACTTTAAAAAACATTGAGGGGAGATTGATCCCGGGCCATCCTTGTGAATAACCACCCTCCAAACCAACAAAGTCATCTCAAAGGACAAATTAATATATTATTATTATATATAAAAATAAATTATACATTGATAGTTTTGATAATTTTATATTTTGTTTGAACTCTAAATATTTAGTGTAGTCTCTCTCTATATATATGGTTTCGAGAGGATATTGATATGTTAATGTAATGTATATGATGTGTATGTATAAATACATTTATTTAACATTAAATTTGTAATGTATTTAATATATTTATATATATTTAAAAAATAATAAAAATATAATTATCCAGATACATAAATATGTATTTGGTATAATTATACCTTAATTTGGTGTTCGTTTATGACTTTTTGGTACCAATTACATAGCAAAGAAAAACTGGGAGTCACAAGGAAAGAGTGGGAGAGATCATATAACTATTTTAAAGTAATAATAAAATTTAATTAATATGACAAAGAAAATTTGTCTAATTAAATAATTTTTGCATAAATAAATAAATAAATAATATTTAATTATATAAAAATCGAAGCATATCTTAACTAAAAAATATTATCAAAAAACCAATATGTATGCATATTTTTGAATTTCGATATAAAGAAAAGATAATTTTAAAGGAAACCTCTAGTAATTTTTTCATTATATCAAAATTTCACACATTCATTCTTTCACCACTCAAAATTCCAAGGGCATGTCTGTCATTTAACATCAATCTCTATCTTCCTCAATAAGAAAAGTTAATTACGATTTTCCCAACCACTAAAGTTCTTGAACCTTCCTCAAATGTCCCTCCAATTACCCTTCAAGGGTATTTCAGTCAATTCATAATGCTTAATCTAATTTATTAAAGATATTTATTATCATTTCACACTCATCCGTATAATACTTTGTTAAACCGACTTTAAAATAATTATTTTTTCCCCAAATATAAAAGGATTTGGAGAAAATAAAATAATATAAAAGTACAGAAAAGCCCCAGAAATTTTACCAAACCCTAATTTCTCACTCCGAAACAAACGTTCTTCAAGACTTTTTCCCTCCTCTCCTCCTTCTTTTCCTCTTTCTCTCTCAACAACACAACTCCTCTTTACCTCATCGTCTCTGTATCTCTCGTCTTCTCTGTGGAATTTTGTTCATTGATAGGATAGTAAACGTCCGATCTAGGAGTATTCCGTTCAGATCGGTGACGAGGATTGAGATTTCCGACCTCACGCGCCGAGATCTGGGTGATTCGCGCCGGGTTCAGTTAGAAGGAGGTATGGTAGTGAATGGTAGGCCGATGAAGAGGTTGAAGAGGAGAGTAACGGCGGACCTCAACGATTTCCTTACCTTCCCCGACGACGGTAATACCGCCGGTACGGGACCGTTCAGGACGACGGTGAAGGAGTTTTTATCGAAACATGCGATTTTGCCGCCGCCTTCTTCGTTGTTTCCTCACCTTCTGACGTGGCAGATCCTCTTCCGCGTCGGAGACCTCACTGACGGCGACGGAGACGGCGAGTCTTCTCCGGCTGTTGTCTGCCTCGATGTTATCGAAGAAGACGTCGCCAGATGTAGATCCATTTATTGCGACCAGTGCCGAGTCGTTGGTGAGTTTTCCCACCGATAAATTAAATCTGTTCATACTAATTTTGGAGGTGTTCGCCGGACTTCCGTTACGTTCGATGGACTCAATAAATCAGAACCGTTGATCTCATGAAATCAGAACCGTCCAGTTGTCACTCAGACGTCGTATTAAAAAAATTATTAGTCTACTAAAAACTGAGCTAAAACAGCGCCAGCTCGCATTGATCCTTTTCTTAATTAACAAGTAAAAATTATTAATTAATTATTGATTAATTTAAAAAATTATGAACGTGGGGTCCAATTAAAATGTGGGTCCTGATAATTGATAATTGCTACAGTCAGTTGCCAAAGTCTTTTTCTGTTGAATTTACAGATATAACCTTCCTGGATAAAGGGAATGAAAACGACTTGTAAGTGTCACTTGATAGCGGACAATTACGTAATTTTTGTAGGATGTGAGCCTCATTCCACTGGTCCTTGACCAAATTGCCTTGATGATGTGGCATGATGACGACGTTTGTGAAAATTAGAGTAGTAAGCTTTGTAATAGAGAAAAAAAATTGCGTAGCCAAGCAAAAACTATCCCTAATTTTAAAAATCATTTGTCTAATTATAATTTGTAAGAAGTATATTACGATTTTTAGACAATATTTTTGGATATTTGATAATATGTTTTGTAGTTTGAAAGCAAATCAAAGAATTGGACTGAATTGTGTTCTTCTCTTATTCGTTTATTTATAGGTTGGAGCAGTAATCCAGTCTGTGCAAAACGTTTCCATTTTATTATTAAGGCAGATGGAAATTCAGTTGGGGGTTATAACAAATCCTGTGCTGGGTGTGGTGAAGCTCTTCAGTTATCGGAGGCTAGGTAAGAATTTCAACACTTCAATTGTGGATTTCCTTTGTTACGTTGAAATCTTTCTTGCTTGCTTATGGTGTGTGTTCATATGTTGTGGCATTCGTATTTCGTACATTCCCGCTTTGCTGTCCTTCATATGTTTTATTGAATTTTGTAATATGATTTAGTCATTTCGGGAACATGTTGAGGTTGCTTTACATACTTTTGCCAATGGCTGTGAACTTTTTTATTGTTTATCTTGATCATTGTTTTACTGAAAAATGTGGGGCTAAATACATTAATTTGTTTTGTCAGGTGCAAGTCATGCAATCATGTCATGACTGCAGAAGATGTTGAGGATTGGATGTATAATCAGTTGGAGGATACCAGTCATCTTCTGCATGGTGTGATTCATGCCAATGGATATGGACATCTTCTCAGGGTAAACGGTAGAGAAGGTGGTTCCAGGGTGCTTTCTGGAAGTCATATAATGAATTTCTGGGATAGGCTCTGTAAAGTTCTTGGAGCAAGGTAAGCATAATTTGTATTAGATGTTGTGTCGTTGGAATAATAAAACTTGACATGTTTCCCAAGTACTGAAGGCAATTTTCTATAGTTTGGTTCTCGAATGAACTGTATTTGATGATTTAGTCGTGTATTTCTGTATGATCAGAAAAATCAGCGTGATGGATGTTTCAAAGAAGTATGGTTTGGAATTACGTCTACTACATGCCATCACGAAAGGTCACCCATGGTATGGTAAATGGGGTTATCAGTTTGGTGCTGGTAGTTTTGCTCTGACTCAAGATTCTTATAAACAAGCTGTAGAGAACCTTTCTTCTCTGCCCTTGACCATCTTTCTATCTCAAGGACGGAAGCCTCGCACTCGTCTGCAGGACTTGATTTCATTTTATCAGTCCTTGTCAGATAGTGAACTTGTAAATATTCGAGACCTTTTTCTTTTCTTGACTAGTTCGATCCGTGATGCCCATAAACCTGGTTCTGGAGCTGATGAGGCCACTTGTAAGAAGCGTAAAACTTGCGACTCCAAGGTCTTGTGTTCATGGACCAGTACTGACATTTTACGTGTTGAAGAAGCAATGTTTAGAGTACTACGGGCTGTCTCTGGGCCCAATTGGGTGAGCTGGCGTGCTCTTAGAGGTGCTGTGTGTAAAGCTGGTCCTCCTGAACTCCTTGATTATTGCCTAAAGGCACTCCATGGAAAGCAGGTAGCTGACGGAATGGTTGTCAATGTCCGCAGCGTTTCTGGTTCTGGTGCTATGGAGTACAAGTCAGTAATCCATTCTTCTTTGGAGTCACATTTTGTGCATTGTAGATTTTTTTTGCTTTCTCACTGATTTTTTTTCTGACTTGATGCAGAATTGAACGTTGCAACCCAATGGTTAATGTTAATACAAATGAGAATAGATTGCCTTGTACTCCCAACCTCCCATCTGAGGAACATCTGCGTCGAGATCTGAAGTACTTGTACGATTGCATGCTAAACCCATCGACAATGTCTAATCATGTTCCCTTGATCAAAAGGGAAATTGCAGTTGACTCTGCTACTACTGTTCTTGATTGCAAGCAATTTTTGAAAGTATATCAACCTGAAAAATTCTTGCCTAT